ACCGGTGGCAACCGGAGGTAATGGATGCTTTGGAAACACGCGCCGAATGTTCAGGCGCTCAAACTGATGAGCACTGAGTTGAATCGTTACGTTGCCGTTGGTATGAACGCGGGACACACGATAGGGACCAGAAGCCGTAGGCTTGAACTTATCACTGAGACCGAGATACGCACGATTGTAGACCAGGTCGTCGACTGCGTAGTCATAGGAAATGCGTTTAGCATTGGCCCGTAGCAAACGTTTGTCACCCAAGGATTGACGGTGTCGTTGCACGGCCAAGATGTCTGCATAAATAGGGATGTCAAGAAACATATCTCTTTTGAAGGCAAGAGCACCAGATACGAACGCGTATCATCACTCCTGGTGCTCTGCCTTCAAACGAGATATGTTTCTTACTATTCCTATTTATGCAGACTCTTTGGCCGTGCAACGACACCGTCAATCCTTGGTTGACAAACGTTTGCTACGGGCCAATGCAAACGCATTTCTATGACTACGCGTCGATGACCTGGTCTACAAGCGTGCGTATCTCGGTCTCAGTGATAATTTGAAGCCTACGGCTTCTGGTCCCTATCGTGTTTCCCGCGTTCATACCAACGGCAACTAACGATTCAACTCAGTGCTCATCAGTTTGAGCGCCTGAACATTCGGCGCGTGTTTCCAAAGCATCCAGTACCTCCGTTGCCACCGGTCGGGTTATTGAGGTTCCCTGATTCATTTTTAAATGTTAACTGATGCTCGCGCCTATTGTTGCCTCCACGTGGAGGAGAGTGACATAACGCACGTCTATGGACGTGCGCTTTAACGCTGAGTACGTCTATGACGGTGGCGCTTTAACGCAGTTTAAGTTCTAATCTCACAATATTCATCGTAGTTCTGAACAGATCCATGAGTGAGTCTTACACTGTATGGCAGCAGCTACGCGAGAAACATGGGCTGCCTCCCAAGGAACAGCGTAAGCACGAGCCAAAAAGAAATGAGCAGGGTGAAGAACCTGCGACAAAAAGAGGCAGCAAGTCGGCGATGCTGGTGCTGTCCAATCATCAAGTGAAGAGGAAAGTATCTATCGTAGAACATAATTGGTTGGATACCTTGTCGCCAACCTGAACGTTACTTAGTAAATGATCACATCTACTATGGATTTATCCTACTTAGTGGGCATGATCATTTCTCTCTCACATTGATCTTTGACAAAAAAGCGATAGAATTGCTGATTGAACCTCTACTTACTTCATTGACGGCAACTTCCTTCTTTATTCTTCACTTGAACCAAGTATACTCAGCATCAGTCGCAGGGTTCCTGGGAAAAGTATCTTTGATCTCATCTTCTACGCACACAGGAAGTTTGCGGCGTTTTCCTGGACCAAGAGACCAAAGATCATTCGCGCAGCCTCAGAATAAAGCGCCTTTCTGATGACATTGTTTTGGGGTGCCTCGTCATCCTTCATCATGTCATCCGTGTCATCACAGACTTCCTCCCAACCATGTCTTGGATCATGTAGCATGGATACTGTTCGCAGTAGTGGAATGGTTTGATGGGCGGCTGTTCTGCTTTCTTTTCATACTTCAATGCGACTGGGCCGTGGCGCTCCAGTATCTTCAGATCATGCTGCCACTCCTCGAAAGCATGAGCAGCACCCCAGTCAAAGGTCAGGCTTGAGACGAGATGACATTTGTATCACAGATAATGGTGGATAATGGAATTGTTTATAGCATTGCTTGTTGTGATTGAAAGAAGATCTACTCTTGCGAGTTTTGGTTGGAATATCATTGGATGCAACAACGCATAGGGTAACCGGGTTATTGAGGTTCCCCTGATTCATTTTCTAAATGTTACTGATGCTCGGCGCCTATTGTTGCCTCACAGTGGAGGAGAGTGACATACGCACGTCTATGACGTGGCGCTTTAACGCTAGTACGTCTATGACGTGGCGCTTTAACGCTAGTTTTAAGTCTAATCTCACAATATTCCGATCGTAGTTCAATGGACCAAGATCCATGAGTGAGTCTTACACTGTATGGCAGCAGCTACGCGAGAAACATGGGCTGCCTCCCAAGGAACAGCGTAAGCACGAGCCAAAAAGAAATGAGCAGGGTGAAGAACCTGCGACAAAAAGAGGCAGCAAGTCGGCGATGCTGGTGCTGTCCAATCATCAAGTGAAGAGGAAAGTATCTATTCGTAGAACATAATTGGTTGGATACCTTGTCGCCAACCTGAACGTTACTTAGTAAATGATCACATCTACTATGGATTTATCCTACTTAGTGGGCATGATCATTTCTCTCTCACATTGATCTTTGACAAAAAAGCGATAGAATTGCTGATTGAACCTCTACTTACTTCATTGACGGCAACTTCCTTCTTTATTCTTCCTTGAACCAAGTATACTCAGCATCAGTCGCAGGGTTCCTGGGAAAAGTATCTTTGATCTCATCTTCTACGCACACAGGAAGTTTGCGGCGTTTTCCTGGACCAAGAGACCAAAGATCATTCGCGCAGCCTCAGAATAAAGCGCCTTTCTGATGACATTGTTGGGGTGCCCGTCATCCTTCATCATGTCACCGGTCGTCATCAAGCTTCCTCCCACCATGTCTTGGATCATGTAGCATGGATACTGTTCGCAGTAGTGGAATGGTTTGATGGGCGGCTGTTCTGCTTTCTTTTCATACTTCAATGCGACTGGGCCGTGGCGCTCCAGTATCTTCAGATCATGCTGCCACTCCCCGAAGGCATGAGCAGCACCCCAGTCAAAAGTGTCAGGCTTGAGACGAGATGACATTCTTGTAATCACAGATAATGGTGGATAATGGAATTGTTTATAGCATTGCTTGTTGTGATTGAAAGAAGATCTACTCTTGCGAGTTTTGGTTGGAATATCATTGGATGCAACAACGGCCATTCAGGCAGTGCAGGATCAGCTTTGGCGGCCATTGTTGTAGTTTACTTGTGGGCTTTGTAAGCACTGGATGGCCTATGCATAATTGGTAGGATGGACCATGTAACCCATCCATAAAATTGCGCTCCTCTTATGCTTAACAGGGCCCGCCCCTGATTGGCGTTAAACGGTCGTTAGCACCGCTTGCGGAAAACATCTAATAAACCAGTCATGCATCCTCTTCAAGCAGTTAGCACAATTCTGATTCCACTCCCTAGCAGGGAAACACTCTCAGCTACACACTAGTTCCTATAATCGGACTTCAGAATCTCAAGAGAGTCAAACCCAAACTTCATCCCGATATCGATACACTGATTTTGGCCCACTCATAATTTCAGACAACAGAAAACGACCGTTAAAGCACCGCTTGTGGAAAACGACCGTCAAAGCGCTGCACCTCCAAAGCTTCGACAATGGCGGTGATCAAAGCCAAAGCACTGGCAGAAGTTCAGGTTGACTTCTACGCATCCTCTTCCAAGTAATATCAGTCGAAACATAACAGCACCGCAGGGAAGATCCAAGAGTATCTTAATGCCCTGCAGGACCGACTAGGCTTACCCTCCCTGAACTACAATGACATGAGTGAAACAGGGGGTTCCTTCTCAACCAACGGCAATGATGTAACAAAGTGGTGGTTTGCTTTTTGGGCTGATCAGCCAGCCTTTTGGTTTGGTCTCAAGAAGCCATCTGGAGCCTCCTATGCAGTGGGAACTCTTGAACGCTATATGCCTTCCATAAAGAATCAATTAACAAAAAGTTCATGCTATCCCCTTACTTGAAAGTGATTGAAGAGACCTACACCTCTGCCTTCAACTCCTTGAAAGCCATGGTGAAGGAACGCAAGAAGTCAGTGCCAACCCCTCCGAAGAACAAGGTCTACTCAAGTGAAGACATCACCTTCATCCTCCAACGCTGTCTCTGGTTCAACTTGGAAAAGTTCCTTGACTTCTTTCTCTTCCAGACAGCCCTACTCCGGCTTTGTAGCAGGGCAACTGAGAAATCCCGTCTGTCAGTGCAAAACCTCTAAGTCAGAGAGCTGGTTGAAGGATCTGTGAACCACATTCTCCAATGTTATCTTGTGCACTTGTTCGCGACAAGATGGGTGTCGACAACCACCACCCCCTGATCCCCAACTAGTATGATGTTTTTGGTGATCTTGTTGTTGCCATTGGTCTAGCTCTGTTCCTCCGCAACGACAAAGCTCTGATGCCATCTATAGCAGCTTTGACCGGTGACTCTGCTGTTTCAAACCATTACTCCACTACTCTTGACTCTTGACTCTATCTGGAAGCGCTACCCTCCGGCAGAGGATAGCACCGTCCAAAAAGGAACTTCACACTTCGGTAAGCACACTGCACAGTACATTCTTGATGGCAACAAACTCCACATTGCTGCCCAATTGTTCGGTGGTTGGAATATTGGAGAAGGAGCCCGCGCCGAGTACTTCTCTAACCCCTTTCCCTATCTTCTTGGAGCCAAAGCCATAGCAGGCTGGTCCAAGTCTGGCCTTGATTATCAACGCGTCACTATCCCATCATACGACACCATCTCCAAAGACCTTGGCGACAAGATCTGCACAGCTTTCTTCAGCCACAACGACTTGCTGTGCACCCAGGCCAAGCAAATCATCCTAGTGTGCATGCTATCCAAATGGGACCAGCTCTTACACCACATTCAGTCGGAGCCCAATGGTCTATTCAAGGATCCAAGCAACCACTTCATTGTTAAAACCCTGCTGCAAAGACTCTCTCATGAAGGCATTCAACTATCGGAATTTAACAAATTCAAATCATCCTGCCAAGAACTCTTCACCTCCGTCAACCGTATTGATAATGCCGCCCCCTCCATTTTTCCACCCTCAGCCTCAACAGAACCGAGTCCATCCCTCAACACCACTCTGTTTCAGTGCTCGATAAACCTTCAACCTCTGAAAGCCCTTCTTGACCTCGTTAGCAGGAACACTGACCCCAAGGTTATTGTCTTCATCAATTATTTTGCTTGCAACTTCATGGAATCTTACAAGTCTGCAAGGGTTGACAACCGGATGAGACGCAAGTACCGCGTTATCAAAGCAGCCATCAGGGTCATGGTCCGGTTTCTTGACACCTTCCCTGCTACTAAACCAACAATGGAGGAGGCTGTTGTCGTTATGTATCGCATCAAGACTGCACTATTAGGTGAAGTTTCCAGTGTCAAGGTCCAGGGAAAACATCCATTCAATACAGCAACCCCACTACATCTGTCCAGCATTAGCCGCAATGAAGTGCTCCTCACAGACAAGGCAAAGCCCTGATATCGTCCTCTCCCACCTAACACTCCCTATTCCTTCATTGAACACATGTACGCTCACAAGATCTATGAAGTGTAACTAACAAACCAGCTATTCAGCATTAGAAAAGTTAAGCTCTCTTCTCTGTCTCAATGCCCAGCTCATCAATCCTCCTCCGGTGGAACAACGTCCGCCTGTGTCTTCATGGGGGCTGATTCCTTGAAAGTTAACTCGAGCCATGGTTTAGTTGTCGACTTCGTCGAGTTGTGATCTACATGTTCTCTTTGTCAATTTACGGATCTTCCACGTTAACCAGCGTGGTTTCATCTAAGAAGCGCAATTGTAGGTAATTCTGAAAACGAGACCTCAGGTCTCGTTTGGGAAGCACATATCCCAACCTCTCCTTCCGAACCAAGTCCAAGGTTCCAATTAGGCAACCGGTGCTCCAGGTTGGGAAGTGACGTACTTTACAATCTACTACTGGCAGGGGAAACAACTTCAGTACGTGGTATGTTACCCTTTGTGCCCATTGGTGTATCCAACCGTTAAGTCATTGTCTACTAAAAAGAAGTCACATCGCATCCGTTTTTGGATGGTAGAACATGAAGAATGCATTCCCAACAACATAGATCCTGCACAGAGGGCTATTAATCGCAGAAGCGTTACCTACCAAAATGGGACCTGCAGGTGGCCAAGTTTCAACAAAACCAGCTAAAACGAGATAAGACTAGGATAAGAGTGGGAATATCAAAATGCTAGATTGTTAACGCTTATCCAAATAGAGCAGTACTGAGTCACCAAAAAGAGGATCACCGTAAAAGATCCTCATGGTGAAAGGGGTGAAAAGGGTGAAAAGGCTACCAGATGGGCAACCACCACCGACCAAATTAACAAGATCAGCAAAAGGAAAGGGAGGCAAAGGGTACCGAAAAAGCACCGGAAGGCTTCCGAACAGAGAGAACGGGCAACAAATTTCTCACAAAAGCCCGCCAAAAAAGCACCAAGGGGAATCAAAAAGCGGCCAAGGGCTTCCCATTCAATGGGGCCTTGCTGCCAATTGACAACCTGGAAGGACCCTAGTCACAGTCCACCAGATCATTCGTAGGGACGCTTGCCCTTCTTCTTTCTTCTTGTTCACGGCATCCGGATCGGGCTGCGTGGTCTTCCTTTCCACAAGATTGCCACATCCATTTCAGCATTTTTGTTTCTGCATCTTGGGCATTTGGCTTGGCACGGGCTCCTGAACCTCAAGCTTGAGGGCATTGTGAGCGCCTTCGGCCTGCATTGGACCAACCTCCATACTTGGCATTGCCCACTGGAGTTTGATACTTGGTAGCAAACTTTTGTCTCGAGGTCACTTGATGCATTA